TTTCAATTATTATTTATCTAAAATTTATATTTTAAAAATTAAAAAATCATTTTAAATTTATTAAAAATAAATAAAATGGGTATATAATTTTAATTAGTTAATGCATTAAACCAAAATAAAAAATTTCACATTTTATAAAAGTTAATTATAAAAATATATACTCATCATACTTATGTTCCATCGCAAATCCTTTAAAAGCACGTATTAAATAAAGAGGAGTGCTAGGGGCACTCGCCTTCTGCACTCTACGGCCAACACTTTCACTTTTATTGGGCCACGTTAGTCTGCTCGGTAAGAAGTTGCTTTCAAAGCTGAAACAAGCTTACGTGGCCCAATGAAAGGGGAAGTGTTGGCCGGAGAGTGCAAGAGGCGAGTGCCCCTAGTACTGCTCTTAAATAAATCTAATAATAAAATATAAGTCATCATATGATGATTGATGGACTTTACCTTTTGACAATTTGATGACTGTTATTTTGTAGTTTAGGGGGCCAATGTCGTCAAATGAGGGTGACCCGATGATTGCAAGGCTGAGTCCCTTCATCCACTAACATTTTGCTGTCTAAATTATAAAATAAATATTTAATTAAATGCTAACTAAATTTATAAAATATAATTAATTATAATTTATAATTACTTAATAATTGTTTATAAAAGATTATAAACAACCATATCTTTCCTTATTATTAACTGAGAGAAATATCAACCTGCCTTACTCCTCTCTCTCTCTCTGTCTTTTTTTTTTTTTATATATCTTTTTTTCGTCCTCCGATTTAAGAACACTCACATCCATTTATAATTGTATTTTGGTTGAATATGGCAAATATTAAGATAAATGGTTGCATTTTATTGTTTGGTTAAATAATTATTAATCTCTTCATTTATTTTTAATAAATTTAATTTAATTTTTGAAATTTAAATAAAATTTTAATAATTTAATAAAAAACTTTTCAATTACCATTTATATAGTATATTAAATTTTTATATAAAACTTATATTTTAAAAAATTTTAAAATTAAGCTAAAATCATTAAGAATGAATAAAAAGAGTACTGAATAAAATTAATAATTATAACCATTAATAATTATTGCTTTAGTTTTAATTTGTTACTAATTTTCTTATTTGTTTTGTTAAGATGGGTGATG